CCCTATACCGAAAGTCTTGGGTTTTCTCCGTGTACTGTGGTTTCCTCCCATAGGAAATGCTGACATGATGTGGTGGGATTACCCCCTCCCTATGAAACTGACGCTCTAACCGTAGCTGTGGTCTGTGATTAGATTTGTTGAAACCGACATCAGTGAAGCTAAGATGTCCTATAATGGTGCAAGTCTTTTCAATTCCTTATCTACTGATCTAAAAACTATAGAAAATGAGACGGTTTCATCTTTTACAGTAAAACTAAAAGGGTTCTTTCTCCAATTACAAAGTACAAGATGTGCAAACATCCTGCGCCAGGTGCAAACATGTTGTGCTTTGTCAATGCTTTGGTAACAGGTCAGAAAACATGTACAGTCATATACAGTTATATGTAGTATCTTTACGAGGGACATAGAGACGAATACCTTGGTGGTAACTATGTAAATATTATTTTTTTACCTCCTTAAATAAAGTGTCAACTAACTAACTAACATGTGTCATAAGGTGGTTGCCAGAGGTGCCCTTGGAAGGCCTTTGACTTGATCAGGTTGATTTTGCGTCCTTCGCAGTTCAGCTTAGCTGCAAGTTAGGATGATTCCTTTTGTTAATTGTGAGGTCCGTTTTCTTAGTTTTTCAATTTTACACCGGTTTAAAAAATCACGATCCGGTGGATAACGCTACATGTTGTCCTATAGTCATACGACTATAACCCCAGACCGTTATATCATATTGCCGTTTGCTTGAAGTTATTGCTTTAATAACCCATTTTAGGCTGTAATGCGCGCAAATGCGCCCTACTTTACTATTTTACTCTGCCTCACGCCAGACGATCTTACTTGTCAAAGGAGAGTTTTCCCTTCAATATATAGCTTAACCAAACAATCTGCCAATGTGTCTTGTTAACCCATTAACATTTTACTCTGAGGGGTGCCGAAAATTCAGGGGGCAAAGCCCGCATGAAATGTTGAGATTTTTGGTCTTATTATTTTTGGTCTTAGAAATTATTGGTCTTAGGGACTGGTCATAAAGTAACTGCTAGGGTGGGCTGGAGGTAAATCACAAATTTTGCCAATAAGTTTGGTGACCCATCTTGGGATGTAGATAAAAATTTCAAAGCCCATCTAATCTTACCAAATTTATTTCATGACCCACCCACCCAATCTAAATTTGGAAAATACACTTTTATAATAAAAAACTTGCAGGTATGAACATAATTGTAAGTATACACCGGCACTGTATTGACATACATAATTCCACCAAGCTTGACCAACACATTCATCACCAATTACGATACTGAGCTGCTCTCCAGTTGGTTGTATTTGCTGTGATTCGACCACTTCTTGTTGTTGTATAAAACAAAGTACTGGCTTCAATAGCATCATTTGCATTTGATAATTTGGATAGTTTTGTTTACTTTTATTATTAATATCTTTATTTTTTGAAGTAGACATGCATGGGTTTTTGTTTGGTGGCCCAACCGTGGACATACAAAAAAATTGGCGGCCCATCGAAACTGCCCAAAGATTTTCCATGGCCCATCCCAAATCACTCCAGCCCACCCTAGCAGTTACTTTATGACCGGTCCCTTATTTTACAATCCATGGTAATACTAAAATACTGAAAATTCGCTAATTTCACAGGGCTATGTTTTCCGTATTTTACAACCGATTTCGCAACCAAACTTTGCAATTTTACTAATTTTAGGATGCTCTTTTGAGCTATAATGATATATTTCGTCTTTTTTGTCTAGATAAAAATTAGTCGATAGCTGGAATTGTCTGTTGGTTCTATCGAGTGAGTCCCCAAATCCTGATATTTATCAATTACCTGCAATTTTCTTGACCAGATCCTCCAATTTCGTGCCAAATGCAATAGCTTGTAATTTATTTTTGCCATTCAGAAGACCGACTTTCTGATTCTTGTCAGCCATCCCACCTTACAAACAACAACATATATAATTTATCATTATATTATCTTAGTTCGGTCTTAAATGAGAAATTGCCTCGAGTTCAGTGCTGCATGGGGCCGGTTGTTCAAAGGTGGATTAGCGCTAACCCTGGGTTAAAATTTAACCTGCTGTTTTAGTTTATGTATTTATGCACGTCTGTTTATTTCAAAACGTCAAAGAAGAAAACGCCTACTGATCCAGACAAGATTTCTAAAGAAATATTTCCGAATTTATAAACTAGCTGTTGGGAAGTTCGCTTCGATTTTGGGTTTACCTAGGGTTAAGCTTTTCTACTTTCGAACAACCAACCTCTGGTCGTGAAACGACTTCAGTACAACTTACATGCAGCTAAACACGAATCTATGGGTTAGAATCAAGACAAGATTTTATATGTTGATATTTCGACAATATTTATTTCAAAGCCTTGTATTTTCAAATCTTCTCTTCGGCCTTTGTTTTATTCTATATTTTTTCAAATGAAATGGATTTTCTGGCAGGAAATGGATTTTAGATAGCCTGTGTACAGCGTAACGGTTGTGCACAGGCTAATTTTAGATAGCCTTCTTCGAATTGGAAGTGAGAGGACTATCTATGGATATCACATGCAAATTATTGTCGCGAGAGGTCCAGTGAGAGCCATCCCTTCTCGATTCTCTCGCTGGCCCAGACTCCAACTCATGTGAGAAGAGTCAGTCAACGCTCTGCCGAAAGTCGTGAGTGTTCTCCGGGCGCTCCGGTTTCCTCCCACAGGGAAAGTTGAAAGGGTGGGTTAAGATAAACACAGTTAAGAAAGTAATATCATAATTGTTGTAAAATATAATATAGTCTAGGCTAGTAGGCTAAGCATGTCATTATGTACAAGCGTAATACTTGATATAAATCGCTTTTAATCCGTATGTAAGGTTGCCCTATAGAAATCTTACGTTCGTATTCTAAAAGCTCTGCACTCACACTCAATGAGTGGAGGTTCAATCTGAGCTTCTCTTGAGTGTCAATGCTGCTTTTGGAAAGATGCAGGGTTAGTGTCGTACCTTACTATGTGACTACTCACCCTCCAGGTATTCAAAAACAGCATTGACACTCAAGAAAAGCTCAGATTGAACTCCTCATTGAGTGTGAGTGAGCCTTTAGACTAATACGGGCGTTAGTCTCAAACCTTAATCTTAGAGGACGCACGGTGTGAAGAATTAAAACCTGGTGTTCATGGTATTAAGATTATACTAAGAAAGCCAGACATTGCATCTACTCTAGATTACGGATAACTTACTTGATTGTTTCTTAATTTTGCACAAAACCGCAATCTTCTGACGTTCCTGCAATTAAAAGTCTCACTGCTGCTTAAATCGTAGTCCACAATGGGCAAACAGCTACTTGAAATGCCACATTTGACCGTATGTTCGCATTTGTATTAATATTTTAAAATGAAGATAACACCAAACGACGACTTCCCGCTTTGTTTTTATTATCCAATTAATAATATTTTGGGATCGGTCAATATTTATGGCGGAGGGTGGGTCCGAAGATAAATGTTTTTTCTTTGTAAATGGTAATCCAACCATTAAGAACCTCCACTAACTCCAACCTCAATTAAGTATCAATAAAAAATAAATACCCACCTCCAAAAACTTTACAAAAGGATACCGTTCAGTTTTTACACGTGTCCTTTACCACTTCTGCTTGTGCAATTTTCTGCGGTCTAAAGTTTCATGTTGTCTGCACGTGTACTTTCTATGGAGACACCATTTGCCTCTTGACAAATGGGAAAATGATGAAGATAGCGACTCTGATTGATTTACATATTGTATTGACATATAACTGTTGACGTTGCTTTTTAGTCGTCAATATTTGAGTGAGTCATGCTTTGGAAATGAGAATAAATTTTTATTACCCAACCCTTGAATTGTTTTTTTGTTTTTCATTTACCTAACCTTTTACTGACATAAAATTTTGTTTACCCAACTTTATAGTTAGTTCATCAACGTCTATTCATGCCATTGTAACTTTCTGAATCCAACTGGGTTTTTTCCTTTTAATAATGTATAACATTGTTTCAGGGGATGACAAGCATCGCTCATTGGTTCAAGAAAACTTAACGCTCGCTTTTGATTGGCTACTTGGCAGGTTTGTAATATATAATAAATTAGGCTTTTGAGTAGCAGTTAATTGACTTCGAACAGCGGGATGGATTCTAAAAGCATGCAGTCAAAATAGTTTGCCCATCTCAAACAAAGCAAATTTTCTTTTAAAATATGAATTTTTTTATTGCGTCTTTAATAAATTGGCTTATGTACAAAATTTAAATAGACACTGCCCGAATTCGCTGGCGAAAACTACTTATTCACAATGGATTACATTAGGGCCATTTATACGGGACAAAATAAGTCGCGACTTACATAAGACGCGTCTTATATAAGCGTAGTTATCGTATAAATGGTTCTCTTCGGCTATAGTCTTATTTACTTGCTATAGCTATAATGTTGTTTTGGTTCTTTTTGTTTTAATATGCAAGGCTAATAATTTTGCGTTGTTTCAAGTTTCGGGCATGTGCAGTTAGACTTTTATCCAAAATGTCTTATTTAAGACGCGACTTAAATAAGAACAGCTAAAAATCCTGTTCTTATTTAAGTCGCGCGAGTCTTATCCAAGACGCGACTTACATAAGAATTTTGTACCTTTTTAGACGACAAACTCGCGTCTTATTTAAGTCGCGTCTTATGCAAGTCACGACTTCTTTTGTCCCGTATAAATGGCCCTATTGTTTCATTTGATAGAAATTTTAGAAGTACTATTTAAAATTCCTTCACCGATTTTTCATATCTTCATGCTGAGCTTTTGAAATATTTTGCCTGAAAACAATCCACCATCTTGGATTTATTTTTTTTATCTCATTCGCTTTCAGATTCTTAAAAAGTTGTCAGTTAAATTGTTATTCGACATAGAGACCCAAATATGATTTTGGGTTCATAATGCCTATTGCATATCTGGGTAAAATTTTGCGTGACCATACTTGTGAGGCCAAAAAAAAATATGTGGGTTTCCGGTTTCCCGACCCTACCTAGCTTTTGGACGTCGAAATCCCGACCCTAAACTTTTTTATTGGATTTATGCTTGTAAGTGTTTCCACTTAGAGGAAAAAGTTTGTGGAAAATTGAAATTTGAGGCAATATTAGGGAAATTTATTTTTGGATGTGGAAGCACTGACTAAACAAAATGGCGTCCGCTTGTTCGGAAAATTAAAAAAAAAGTTTAAAAAAAAAAGTTAAAACCGACCTACCCTACCTAAGTTTTTATAAGAAGAAACCGGAAACCCACATATTTTTTTTTGGCCTGACGTACTATAAATATCCACAATCCAAGATGGCGGACAGCTCGCTGGTTTCAAGTTGAACAAACTATAAAAATGTTTTCCCCTTAATTTTATATGAGACAACTAAATTTGTGTTGCTAAATCCCTTTAAATACCATGCACTTATTATGAAAATTATTGTGAGCGCTTGTAGCCATTAAAAATAACTCGTTTCTCATCAAATGAGGTGCTCCTTTTCATCAGTTGCAAGTAACTCGCTGCAGCGCGCGGCAAATGCTTCGTGCGAAGACCAGAAAGCGGGATTTTATCCCGAGTAAAATAGCCGAGCTGGCCGAGCACCAAGTATGACCTCAGCGGGCAAAAGATTAATTAAACTTAGTTTACAAGGGTTTATGTACTGTTTAATAAAAGAGCAGGAGTGTTTTATTAGGTTTAAAGCCACGAGCGCGCAGCGCGAGTGGCTTTAGACCTAATAAAACACGACCTGCGAGTTTATTAAACGGTTTCAAACACGACTACAAATTCAATAGATATACTGCCTTATTAGTATTCTTTATATAAAGAATGCTAGTGAGGACACGACTACAATAGATACTGCCTTACTAGTATTCTTTATATAAAGAATACTAATTAGGAGTGTTTTATCAGGATTAAAGCCACTGCACGTGACATATTATGGTTGACATGATTTGCCAATAAGCTTAGGAATTATTAATGAGTGTTTGAAAGTTTAGTTCTTAAATGAATATTTGATAAAAAATGAGTTAGTAAAAGCCTTGAAAAACTTGGGAATCAAGAAAAGTAAATTCCAGTTCTAGATATAATACTTTTATTGAAGAAACAAATGTAAATTTTACTGCTTAGGCACTGGTCATCATTTATGGCGGGAGGTGGGGACGGAAGACAAAAGGATTGGGTAAACAAAATTTTGCGTGAGTAAAAGGTTGGGTAAATGAAAAACAAAACAACTCAAGGTTTGGCTAATAAAATTTATTGTCATTTCCAAAGCATGACCCACTTAAATATTGAAGACTAAAAAGCAATGTCAGTCAACAGTCATATGTCAATACAATATGTCAATCAATCATCAGAGTCATCATCTTGATCATTTTTCGATTTATCAGGAAGCAAATGGTGTCTCCAAAAGGAATACATGTGCAGACAACAAGAAACTTTAGACTGCAGAAAATTGTACAAGCAATTATCAAACTAATATCACAGAGATGGTAAAGGACATGTGTGTTTGAGGTTTTGATATTTGCAGGGCCAACTCGCGGATGAGATCAATTCTGATCAAATGAAAGTGACAGAAAGAATTAAAGCAGTTTGCAGGTGTTTTTGCAAACGAGCACCATGCAAATTTTGCTATTTGTCGTGCTCCAGCCCGATATCTGATTCTGAAAGGTCCGATTCGCAGCCAAAGAGTGCGCTGGCAGCAGGCTGGTCATTTCTAACTGCCCCACACTCAAGTAACCACAAAGACTCACAGATATTGCTTTGCAACATCCGTGAGTCAAAAATGCAATCTGAACAACATTTTTCACAAAGGCAAAGGGCACTTTTCCACCGGAAAAAGGGCACTTTTTGTGTCTTCTGAAAACTTGGGGGGCTGGCTCCCCCCGGTTCCTACGCCCCTGGATATTTGAGGTTGGGTAAAAAAACAAAACTTTTTAATGATTGGATCAGCAAAATTTTTACCAAAGAAACATTTCTCTTCGGTGCCCCCCCCCGCTATAAATAATGACCTATTCCTTACTTATTTTAGATAATTTTCTTTACTGTAGCAATGCTAAGGCTGGACCTGGCGTAAAACTATTGTAATATGGGTAGATATTTAATGTATGATATATGAATAACATAGTCTTATGATGCCGTGAAGTTAGCTTGGGTATCAACATTCGTCCAGATTGTTCTTTGGGCTGATTTGCGTGGTGCCTGTTGTTTCTGTGTTTCCAGAAATTTCGCTGGTTACTGAAACTGCTTGTTCTGCTGGTTGAACAATTACTGGTGTTGGTTTCTCTGGTTGAGTTGACGAAGCCATTTCATCTTCATAGTATATCTATTTGACAGATTAAGGCATTATTCAGATTTTTTCTTCTTTTTGTTTAAAAGTAGTATATCTAATGTTTACCCCCAAAACAGATATTGCTTATCTACACACGTAAACACGCACAAGCTGAAACAAACCTGCAGCAGACTTGTAGCAATGTTGTTCCAAAAACTTGTCAACAGGATGTGTTCGCACTGCTTGTTCCCAGCTTGATGACAACTTGCTACAAGGTTGTTGAGCTCAACAGACTTGTTACAATTTATTTCGACAACTTGTTATCGTCCTGTTATTCAACAATTTGTCAACAAGTTGTGAGTGACAATCTTGTAGCAACTTGATAAAATAACACCATTGTTACAAGTTGTAAACTTTGTTGACAAGCTTGCTACAAGCCTGTTGCGAACACATCTTGTTGACAAGTTGTGAGATTTTTACGTGTGTTGTTACTGTTTTAGACTGGGCTCTATAACCGTACCCTGAGTGACCCACATCTTACACTGGGAAGCCCGCACCAGGCCCTAATCTTCGTTTTGATCCCCCACTGTAAAACGTTTAAAATATGCACTGGTCAAACTCCATGATAAGCAAAATAGTAGCGAAGCTGTGCACTGAGTCCTACACACACAAAATCTCACATCTTGTAGCAAGTCTGCCAACAAGTTCCTTTCCACTGCTTGTCCCAAGTTGTCAACAAGTTTGGCACAAGCTGTTAACAATTTGTAACAACCTTGTTGATATTATCAGACTTGTTGCAAGGTTGTTCCAACAAGTCCGATGCAGTCATGATATAACACTATTGTTACAATCTTGTAACATTATTGTCAAGGGTGTAGGAACCGGGGGGGCACGTGCCCCCCAATTTTTTTAAACTAAAAAGTGCCCTTTTTTGTGTTGAAAAGTGCCCTTTTTTGTGATGAAAAGTGCCCTTTTTGTACAAGCTAATGTCGCTGTAAATACTAAATTAACATCAAAGGTGCCTTTTTGGTTTGGAAATTTCCAAGTTTTTAAAAAAAAAATTGGTCAAAAACGTGCAATTTCAGTATGGTACGACGGGAACCAACCCCCCCCCCCCCGTCGCCAACATTTGCGGGAAAAATTTTTAGGTGCCATTTTCAATACCCTAAAGTGCCCCTAGAAGCCGGTGCCCCCCAAACGTTTGATGCTTCCTACGCCCCTGATTCTTGTTATATCATGACTGTACCAGAACAACCTTGTAATAAGTCTGATCATAGTTAATGGAGCAGATGGTTTGGAAACTCATTAGCATTACAATAAACCTCACTATCTATGTTTTTGTTCAGGTTTATGCAAAAATGTGGTCTTTCATCGTCACGTGCGTATTGTATTTTTGCTCAACCAGCCAATAGCAACGGTTTTGTCCAATTGCCCATCCATGACTTTAACAATAGGACATTTTGAACATTCCTATTGGTTGACTTGAGAAAATACAATACGCACGTGACGATGAAAGACCACATTTTTGCATAAACCTGAACAACATAGATAATGTGGTTTATTGTGATTTTATTGTAATGCTAACGAGTTTCCAAACCATCTCCTCTATTAACTATGGTCTGATAATGCCATGTGAACACAACTTGTGCGTTTTTACGTGTGTAGTCTAAATCCAATCTTAATTCAGTTAGAAATGTATATCGTACCTCGTTTTGTGCCAAGGATTGACCAGACATCATTTTAGAGATTGTTCCAGAGTGTGTCAAAGTGCTACTCCTTCGGGGGCCTGAGTGAGAGTCTGTCCCTCTGATTTGTTGTATCTCTTCTGGGACATGCATCATCGTGTACCCAGGTGTCACCCGTTGACCTACAGAAGCCCCTGAAATCCTTCTGAGTGGCTGAAAAGCAAGACTGGTGTCTTCTGATGCAGTTGAATGCTCATAGGCGAAATTCTCCACAGTTGTTGGAAACACATTTGCCAGATGACCCCTAGGCTGGGGTATGGGTGTCACCGAGTGGTATTGCGGGATAGCAGGTGTATTATAGATAACATGAGGTATATTCGCCCGTCGGATGTTGGATTGGAAAGGGTATATAGGTATATGGCACTGTGGATATTGTGGTTCAATGTAGGTGGGTTCTGAGCTGGGTTGGAAGTATCTGACGGGCACATCGTTTCTGCTTCTTCCCGATGTTGATTGCTGGTCGTAATCTCCTAAAAATGATAGTCGATAAATCAATAGGTTGATAACTCGATAGTCGATAAATCAATAGGTTGATAACTCGATAGTCAATAAATCAATAGGTTGATAAGTCGATAGTCGATAAATCAATAGGTTAATAACTCGATAGTCGATAAATCAATAGGTTGATAACTCAATCAACTAGAGGGGACTGCGAACCTCCGCAGGCGAATTAAGTTGTGTATCATGCATAAATTATACAGTGGGTTAATTACGCATTCAGTGCACTCTGCCCGGCAGAGGAAGACAAACTTAGTGCTGAAAGGCAATTCCAGCTTTTAGTTTATGCGTGCAGGGGGGGAGTGAGATATCATATTGCTGATTATGCTGAAAAAATAAAAATGGTGGCTGCTTATAATTGATAGCTTATAGTGATAGCTTATACTTGTAAATATTGAAATATTTCGGTTGTTTCTGCAGTTTTTATTGAAATTTTTCAGCATAATCAGCAATATGATACCTTACTCTCCACCACCCCCTGCACGCATAAATTAAAAGCTGGAATTGCCTATTTCACTACCAGCACTTGTGGTGTCGTGTCGTTCAAGCTGGGAGATCCTTGGTCGGACTTCCACGTACCCAAGGTCTTAAAATAATTGAGGAGAAAGTACTACCTTTACATTGATATCAGTAAATGGTTAGACTTTCGCGTCTTCTCGGATAAAGTCGTAGGTACTTCGGATTCCCTATCAATTGGACAATAGCCTGTTGGGAAAAAATCTGCTCACCAATGAGTGAGAAACTGAATAATTTTTCATCCACTTTTCATCCATCAATTTTTGCTCTTGGACAGTGTCTGTTAGACCCACAAATTTTCGTAATAATAAATCGTGCTAACTACACACACAGACGCACGTGAATCATCAAGTATACACTTCTATCTTTTGATTCATTTCTACTTACCTTTCCACCACTTTTCATAGCCGTCATGTTTGTGTTTACTGTGCTTGCCTCCATTTTCTCCCCGCTTTTCACCGATTGATTTCCGTCGTCCCCATTTTTGCTTATCACGAGGCATTGGGGGCGAACCGGGCGCGAATGCGTCATCAGATTCAGAGCTCTCGCTACAACTTGTTGCAGTCTTCCTTGAAGATCTTCGCCCGCGGTGTCGCTTTTTGTTCTTGCCGTTGTTGTTGTTGTTGCTGTCGTTGTCGTTATTGTTTTTGCTGTCGTCGTTGTTGTTGTTGTTGTTGTTGTTGTTGTTGTTGTTGTTGTTGTTGTTGTCATCATTCTTGCTACCTTCTCTATTCAAGCTGGCGTTCACTTGCCCCTTCCTATCTTTCGAGAGCTCCGTGCTGCTGTTTCTACTCTCCACCGATCTCTTCACAGGCGACACAGGCTGTCCTCCCATGCCGTACAATATTAACTTCAAGTTTTTGATATCGTTCGCCAACTCCTTTCCAGACTTTTTAACTTTCCCCAAATCCTCGCGGACAATTTCGAGATCAGATTTTTTCCCCTTTCCGAAACGTTTTCCAAATCGTTCTGCCAGGACGCTTTTGATATGCCGAACGTCGTCGTAAACTCGTTCAATATTCGCTCTGTCTTCGGGCTTCTTCGCCATCAGTCGTCCGTATTTGTTTTGAATAATCTGCGGGCTTGCGTTCGATCTAATAAAATCGTAGTAAAGCTTGCGTTTCGCGTTTCCCATTCGTGATTGAAGTAGCAATATCGTGCGCGCGCGTTGCATGACCGCGTGTGCAACTGCGTTTTCGTAATGCCGCTCGAACGTGTTCGTTACCAAAGCAATGAGCAAGTTGAGCGTGATGATAGCAGTAGTTAGGATGAAAGTTCCACATAATATGCGCGCCAGTGTTACATTTCTTTTCTCCAGTTCCTCCCATTGATAGTTTCCGACGATCATCATTTGGAAGACGTTGTACGCCAGGGACGATACGTCTTTGTAGCCGTCAGCTGGGGTGTCCGAATATTTCCCAAATGCGATCCAGAACGCGCAAGCAAAGGGAATTATTATAGCTGCGTTGAGAACAATCCATTTCAGAATGTCTCCGACGACGCTACCAAAGATCACAACATGGGGGCCTGTATAATAAGCATTAAAAATTTCAATTTAATTCATGAGGCAATTTTTTTTAATAATCTCATGAGCACGCTTATATATATATGCTTATATATATAATATATATATATATATATATATATATACCAAATATGTATTTAGAATCATATATGAGTAGAGTGCTCGATATACCGAAGTATAGAGCTAATATAGATAAAGATAAAATAAACCTGGTTTACTTCATAAAATTTATTCACTACAAACTTGTTTCGTATGACAAGCAATGCTTGCCACACTCATCAGGTGAATTTAAATTCACCTGATGAGTGTGGCAAGCATTGCTTGTCATACGAAACAAGTTTGTAGTGAATAAATCTTATGAAGTAAACCAGGTTTATTTTATCTTTATATATATATATATATACCAAAATACAGTGACATATACTCACGAGAATTCTCATGAGTATGCTGCGTACACTTGGCACACTTGGTACAGTGGTACACTTTTTTGTTTTTCGGGCCATATTACGATACCTCAAAAACTATTACAGCTATGATGCTCAAATTTTGAACTTAAACTATTCCCACACAATGTTACTGCCTGCAAAATATAAAGAAATTTGGAGGGGGTGGGTGTCATGCCAGTGTTGAAATGGCATGGAATTATCCGAAAACACTCACGCAAACTCTCGCTTCTCGACTCTCATCAACTCTCATTTTTGTTTGATCAGGGCTCAACATAGCCTACAAAAGATTCTCCTCTTCACAAACCTGCATTTTCAAACGGCCTCGCGTATTTAAACATTCTGAACCAAAGAACGATCAGCATCGCAATCATAACATACACATCGAGGTCCTTCCAGAAAACTGAAGGAGAGACTTCATTCGCAGAATTAGTGGGCGTATTAGTATCATTGGCTCCCTACGATGAAAGATTGCAAAAAATGAGCCCATTCGCTCTACATATACTTGTTCACTGAAGTGAAGGCGATAGTGCAAGGATATTCATCGAATATCCTTGCACTACCAGGGATGCCTAGCCCTGGCCAGGGGGGTGCAGGGGGGGTTGCTATTTTTCATGATAAAGCAAAAAAGACAAAATGAGATACAGTAATTTGAGTAATAACATGATGATAAGTGAACTGTGAACAACAATTACAATTCAAATACAGTAGTTGATTGGCGGGTGGCACACATGACCGACACAACTCGGCAGTTGGCACCAGAGCACCCTCCCCCCTACCAGATCATGCTGGATCTATCCCTGCTATCTACCTGCTATCTATTTCCGACCTACCGACCTCTTATTTTTAATTAAAGTCAAATCCGTAAACCAATAAATAAAAAAAGTCTCGCCTTATTAAGGTAATTCCGCAGTAATTGTTCCCGAAATGAGAATGTGCTGAAACTTCCCAGGCATGGATTTTATGATGTACTTAAAGTAAAATCACACAAAAAAGTCGGGGTCACCGAACTCGTTAAGAAGATATGACAATCACAATATACCACCTTTACTCCAATATGACGCCATCTTGACGCTCATTACGAGTAACAGCAAACTCACAACAGCCCGATATTTATTGACGTTTTTAGCGGGGATTTTGCTTTAGTAAACATATCATGTAATTATTTTTGAAAACATATTGTGTTTTGAGCAAAATGAAACGACTAAAGTGTACAATTCTGATCCACAAAATAATGTCTTTTCCACATTTCTTTACATATCTTTCTTTGAGAACATGCATTGATAAAGCATTTTTATTCAAGATCCAGAAATGATTTTTTTTTTAATTTCGGATATGAAATGTAAAATGCATTAAAGAAATAAATTATCAGTTAAAAAACGGGGGTCACTGATCTTTTTAGGGAATTGTGGCATTAAAACGTGAAATACAAGTAAATAAATATACTACAGACATGCACAGGTAACCCTAGCTACACTTTTGTATGCCTTTTTTGAAAACATTGATTTTAAAGGAGATTGGCAACAAAAATTGCTTCATCTATCTTATTGCTTCATCTGAAAGAGCATGAAAAAATAAGCCGATTGGCCGTTTAATGCTCTATTCTATCTCATCTAGTTCCGAAGTTATACGCAAAAATGTGAAAATATAAATTGCTGATTCAGCACAACGTGTGACGTCATTAGCTGGGTAAGTATGTTTATTGAATACTACACTGAAGCATAGCTCAGTTATTATGGGCCCAAATCAAATGAAATTTTGCATACTGATTGTACATGATGAGACGCATGGAAAAACACTTCTAATTTTGTTGCCAAGGTAACAGTGTCGTTTCCAGGCCCCTTGCGCCAATTTTATGAAACAGCTTTATTCAAGGTACTGATAAGAATAAAATAATATCAGAAGTATGTGTATGATACCTATACATGCCAAAAGTTTACTTGCATGATAATAATTCGAAAATGACATACACATAGATAAATGCAACTAGTTATTCAAAATCAGTGTAAGAGGCCTGGGAACGACTGTGTTGCCTTGACAACGAAATTAGAAGTATTTTTCCCATGCATCTCATCATGTACTATCTGTATGCAAAATTTCATTTGATTTGAACTAATAATAACTCAGCTATGCTTTAGTTTACTATTCAATAAACATACTTACCCAGCTTATGACGTCACAGAATGTGCTGAATCAGCAATTTATATTTTGCACATTTTTGCGTATAACTTCGGAACCAGATGAGATAGAATAGAGCAGTAAACGGCCAATCGGCTTATTTTTTCATGCTCCTTCAGATGAGGCAATAAAATCAATAAAAATTTTTGTTGCCAATACCCTTTAACGTAATTCTTTGCACGAATGTAACCAAAGATGTTTTGAAGTAACATAAAATTGTCATAAAATGATATTTTTTAAATGGTACGTATAATGGATGAAATTATAAGTTATACGATTCTGCGCAGTACTAAGTGCGCAATACAAAACTGCGGAATTACCTTAACCTCATTTATTATTAAGACTCACAGTTACCTTTGGGGAACCATGCTTATGGTCATAATCAGTTACGAAGAATATGGTTAGCGTGGTAATGGACGCGAGAATGAGGAATAGACAGGCCCAATCAAAATACATCCACCAGTCCGATGTCGACACCAGAGAAAGATTTTCGACAGCGTCTATTTCGGCGTCGAGATATTTTTCTTCTTGCCGCCATCTTGGATGACAATAGTCTTTATCTCGTTTTAGTTGTTCAGCCCGCCATTCGTGCCATTTTGCCAGTTCTCGTCGTGCGGTAACAGTCTCTGAAAAGATTTTTAGTTAGTTTTGGTTTCTGAGAAAACATTGTTTGCTAGCCATGTTTGTAAAGGTAAACAAACCAGGAAATATTAATTGTTTTCTAAAGGTGTTTTCCAAGGTGGACAAACCAGGTGTTTTCCATGTTTCTCCAAGGTGGACAAACCAGGAAACATTGTTTCCCACCAAAATATATATATATATATATATATATATATATATATATATATATATATATATATATATATATATATATATATATATATATATATATATATAAAAAATCAATTTAAAAATCAGAGACTATGCAACTTCGACCATCAATTTATTAAAAAAACTAAAAATACTAAAATAAAAGCTTAATAAATAAAAGCTCGACTTTTTTGTTAGTCATATGGTAGTATTATAGTATTACAAGCCGTGATTTGTTTTCATTACATTAAAATTGGCACTGTAAAGTAAGTTATTATTCAAATTTTCGAGAGTCACGTGATCAAGCTGCCAGATCACGTGACAAATTTGTAGCTTCGATCTGGGTAGATGTTAAGTACATTCATACTCTAAATAGTTGTAAAGTCATTTACACAGCCCAAGAAACTTTTTATGGCTTTTAAAACGTTTTTTCAACTCAGCCTCGTTTTCATGTTGAACAAACACATGTCCGAATTAAAGCCCCCTTAACACACTTAGCAACCATATTTGAAGCTGGAAACAGCGATATTCTTAAAAAGAAGCACAACACGGTCATTTTAAGCCCTGTTTCCCGCTTCTACTATAAATGTCCATCGAACGCGATATTTTTGAGAACTGCCACCAGACTAATATCTGTATAGCATTTCCCTTGCAACAGCAATATTCTCTGTTCCATGATCTGTTCGGATTCTTCGTAGGTAATGAAATACATGAGTAGCTGCTTGGAACAAGTTTAATACCGTACATGACTTGTTGTTGGTAGATGCTTTCAGGAAAACGACAGCCCTGGAAAACCCATCGATCCCTCCATGAATAATAATTTGCCATGTTATTAACTTATGATTTCCATCTAAATGCCTGTCAAACAAACACATTAACAAACAAATAAATAAGTAAATCAATAAATGGTATCTTAGGACATAATTTCAGCATAGTGGACTTTAAAGTAACTTCAATTGATATTCTTAGCAAAACCTTCTCAAAATATAAATCATTAATTGTGCCATTAACAAGTAATAACTTGGAAATTTTGTTGCCTAGCATGATCATTCATATGAACATACTGAGTCACTAAAATGAACTTACCATAGAGAATTAGGTGTAGGTACATTATACACCCTTCTATATGCAATAGTATTTTGCCTCAGTTCCCGACTTACTGGATCAATACGTACAATAGATGCTCTGACTCTCCTTCTCTGGACAATTAATCCTTTGGCTCTAATACCTCCAACCAACATTCTTTCACCTGAGTTCGGTGAAACTTGCAAAATAGACTGAACTTCTTCATCCAGTTGGTCATCTGAAATGCTAGAAAAATTTCCAGAGTTACCTAACGGCATTTCATAGTCAGCTCTTCTCCGTCTGATTGTTCTCTCAGAAACACATAGCATCTTTCCAATTGTTGACCATGAAAATCCCAAGCTTCATAATCCTTCTAATTGTTCTTTAGGAATTAACAGTCTTGGGCGACCACTTGTCTTCATCAACGACTTCATTGGGACACGCATAATTGCAGTCCATCAGCTTGGTCAAATATGTGAAAACACTCCTCAAAATGGTTAATCAGGTTCTGGAATTCTGTGGCTACACGGATAGCATTATCAGCAATAAATTGTGGCCATACATTTTCCCGTAAAACAAGTAATAACGTTCCAATAAATTCCTGGGAGCGACGGCAAAGGGTTTCAGCAATTCCGGTGTCAGAGACAAACAAATTTCGCTGAATCTGGCTAAACAGATCTTTACCTGCTTGTAAAATATTCAACAAACGTTGAAGCGACTCCCTGTCCATTGACATTGTCGATGTTTATAAGAATTTGTTTGAATTGTTTTACGGCTTTCATCTAAATTTTATATACTAACGTTGTTTTTCAACTTCGCTGTTTTCGCCAGTCAACTATATACATGGAAGGCTGACTTCAGTCAGTTACGTAATCAAAAGTGAAGCCAAAGATGGCGGATTTTGAAGCTATTCTTGCGCGTCATTCTCAGTCTCCTTACCCGCACGGCCAAACATTTTTTGTATTTTCATAGCGGGAAGTGATGGGTCCGCGACTCTCGGGTTGTGTTTTTCTTCATTTTAAAAGAGGAAAGAACGAAATAAACTTCATTTATTTCATGTAAACCTGATTTCCTTCATCTACTCGATCTGTCTACTGCATTTTCCCACTGTATGTGTGAGTAAATCTGTATTTTTCGTTGCGAATTCAACAACTAATTTCAAACTTTTTTGTTGTTTTTTTAATAAATCTGTATTTTTATAAATTGGAAATTTATTTTTGCTTTAGTTGTTTTGCTTTCGTGTTTCTATGGTGCTTTTCAGTTTTCACACCATTATTTAGCTTATTTTAGTCCGTTTTCCTGACCTAAAACTGCTTTTTAACTGCAGTTTTCGAGGCAGGTTTTAGTCAATTTAATTCCATATATGTAAGAAAATTTTGTTTTTCTATTTTTTATTTAATAAAATCACTTTGATGATTGCCTTATAAACTTAAACTGTTTATTTTAATGAGTTATTTATGTGTATGAAACCTTTGTCAATAGGGACAATACAGATATTTTGAAAGATTGAGTGACATTTGTGTTTTGTTTTGTCACTCTTTGTCATTTACAAAAACAACAATCTCACGCTATTTTGCTTTCTTTTCACTCAAATATCACATCTTTTAAATAAATAATAATTAATATTTAGAACCGAACCCAAACAAAACACCAGAATTCAACTTTTCATTCAAATTTTGTCTGTTTTTCACCAGATTTTTACTCAGAAAGTAAAGAAAAATATAAAAGTTTTGTTGACCGCGCACTAAGGGCACGCTAAGGGGACTGAGAATGACGCGCAAGAATGCCTTCAATTTCCGCCATGTTTGGCTTCACTTTTTGAGCTCGAGTCAGCCTTCCATGTTATATAGTTCAGTGGTTTTCGCTGGCAAGAAGTACATTATTGGTATAGACTTCATGTAGCCCTCATTATAGTATTTAAAGGCACAGTGCCTTTTGAATGATGGTTTTTAAGGCGAATTTTAGCCCTTTTAATAGGCAATTCCAGCTTTTAGTTTATGCCTGCAGGGGATGATGGGAAGTAAGGTATCATAGTGCCGATTATGCTGAAAAATTTGAATAAAAACTACCGAAACAACCAAAATATTTCAATATTACAAGTATAAGGTATCACTCCGAGTTTACACGGCCACCATTTTTATTTTTTCAGCATAATCACCAATGTGATACCTTACTTCCCATCATCCCCTGCACGCACAAACTAAAAGCTGGAATTGCCAATTGAAAAAACTAACTAGGGAATCAATTAGCATAATTTAAGATCGGCAAACTTGATGTTTTTGACATTTTAAAACATTTTTATTGTTAAAAACATTGAGTTTACTGATCTTGAATTATGTATAAATAATATTGATTTTCCTAGTTTGTTTTTTCAATTAAAAGGGCTGAACTGCGCCTTAAAAACCATCGTTCAAAAGGCTGAACTGTGCCTTTAAAAATACAATCACATCAGGGACATTAGCCTACCCTAGCCTGCCGTAAGGTGCCGTACCTTACCTTGGAGTACTTCAGAGTACCTTAGCCTACCTTAGCTTACCTTAGCCTACCTTAGAGTACATTGGCCGACCTTAGCGTACCTTAACCTACCTTACGGTACCTTAGCCTACCTTAGCCTACCTTATATAGAGTAACTTAGCCTACCTTAGAGCACCCAGTACCATAGTCTATATTGGAGTACCTTATCCTACCTTGGTGTAACTTAGGATACCTTAACCCACTTTGGAGTTCCTTAGCATACTTTAGAGTAGCTTAGAGTACCCTAGTGTACCTAATCATACCTTGGAGTTCCTTAGAGTACCTTTAATAGGGTAGCTTTGCCTACCCTTAGGATACCTTATCCTATCTTAGCCAACCTTAGAGTAGTCTCCTATGCAGCCTGTTCGCGGGTCCGAGGTTTTCTCCCCACTAACAGGCTGCTTACTGCAGCAACACATTCCATTCCGATTGTTTAAACTTGACCAATCAGGAAACGGCATGACGTAGGTTTCCCGCCAAATTCAGTGGTGACTAATTGTTCATTGCTATATATATATCTCCATGTTTACTACTGTTAAAATTAAATTGTATCACATGCACGCTAAATAATCGACTAGTTATTCAACATGAACGAGACTCCAAAGAAAGTGACCGACGTTGGCAAAAAGTGTAGATTATTTGTTTTCGGGAAAAGTGCCCTTGATATCGCTAATCTGATAAAAATATCAGTAAATGTTGATGTGAACAATTATTCAGAGAGTAACGATTTATTCGTTTGCAAAAACATATGTTATAAACGGCTGTTGAGGCTGAAAGGTGCACTTGATAAGTTAGAGAAGATTAAAGAGCAAATTTGGGAACGATTTGTGCCAGTGAGGACCAAGCGACTACTGCGCCCAGAAGATAAACGGCAAGAAGACGCGACTCAGGATGAATGTATGCGTGTACAACAACCTCGACAACCTCGCTGCAAAGCCTCTAAATCGATAATTGGGTTTCACATGAGCGATTTTTCCTAAAACCGTGTTGTTCATCAATTAGGATACAATTATCCCGATATCCCTTGGGATTTTGAAGAGTACCCGAGTGACACTTTCGAGTTATCAAATAATTCAAATAATTCAAACGATAGCAGCTCACATCTGTTCAAATCACTAGTGGACGACTATTTCCTTACCCAAGTAAATAATCAACCTACTCGCGGCAATAACATTCTGGACCTGTTATTTGCAGATTCCCCGGAGAAAATATCTAATTTGCTTGTTGGTGACCCACTTATTTATACTGACCATCTCTTTATGGAATTCACTATGCGCACGACTATTCGGAGTATAGTCAAGAAACCTAGATCGGTTTATAATTATAGGAAAGGAAATTTTTCCGCCCTCAGAGAGTCTGTCAAGTCTCTCACATCTGATGTACAAATAAATGAAATCGTTGACATTAATAATGTTTGGTATAATTGGAAATCATCTTTGCAATCCATGATCGATCAATATATCCCTAAAATTCAATTAAAGAGTAAGAGTTCTCCACCTTGGATATCAGGCGAAATTATTCACTTGGTAAGGAAAAAAGCTAGTGCAAGAATCAAGGCTAAATCTACGCAACTATCGATTCACTGGGAGAGATTTAAAGAACTAAGATCCCGTATCAAAAAGCTCATTTCTTGAAAGCGTAAAGAATATTATACTTCGTTGGTTGAGTCTTTATACTCGAACCCGAAAAGGTTTTGGACTATCTTTAGCCAGAAAAGAAAGAAACACACCGTCCCAGAGAAAGTTTCTATCGCTGATGGAGCAGGTGGTAGTAAATTCACCGAGGGTCCAAACCTAGTTGCTGATACGTTTAATCGGTTTTTCTTTTCGTCCTACTCAACTCCTGAAGTTGGTAATCCACAGGTTCACTCCAACGACCAACATTATCACCCCTCCAGCCCAATTCCATCCCTGTCACAGATATCTCTGGATTCTGTAGACGTTTTAGCAGCAATAAAGACCATAGACAGCAGTAAAGCTCAAGGGCCGGATAAGATTCCAGCAAAGATTTTAGTGGAGTGTGCTGAACAAATTTCTCCATCTCTAACAGATTTATTTAATTTATCCTTGCAATCGGGCACTCTGCCAACGGAATGGAAACTAGCTAACATCATGCCTTTATTAACGAAAGCCCCCGCTGAAAAAGTGGAAAATTATAGGGCTATTTCCCTGCTTTCCCTGGTGTCGAAGTTGCTTGAAAGGTGTATTCTCAACAAGATCATTGATCACATAGCCAGTAATCTGTCCAACCTTCAATTCGGCTTCCTCAAAGGTAGATCAACAACGTCTCAACTACTCTCAGTTTATCATAAAATTCAAGAAGCTATGGATGCCGGCATACAAACTGACATGGTATTCCTAGATTTTTCCAAAGCCTTCGACTCTGTGAACCATCATAAACTTATATTCAAGCTTAAACTATTCGGTATAACTGGTAAACTACATGACTGGTTAAAGGACTATCTCTCGAATCGTTCCCAGTAGACCACAGTATTAGGGGCTACCTCAATGCCCTTACCTGTCCTATCTGGAGTACCCCAGGGTTCTATATTGGGTCCCATACTATTTCTGATTTACATCAATGATATTGTTGAAGTGGTCCATCGGGACTCTGGGATGGCGTTGTATGCTGATGATAGTAAATGTTTCAGAGTCATAAAATCGTTAAACGACTCGCTCCTTTTACAATCTGACTTAGACAATCTGTCATCTTGGTCTAAGTCATGGAACATGGACTTTAACGAGACAAAGTGTGCCATAGTGTCATTCACCAGAAAGCACCATCCAATTATTCAATCATATTCACTTAATGGATCCAAGCTACGAAAAGTCAACGAACAGAAGGATGTCGGAATCCTGATAACCAGCTCTATGGAATGGTCAAGTCACGTGGCTACTGTATGCTCTAAGGCAAACCGTACACTTGGGTACATCCGCCGTTGTTCTGCGGAAATTGGTAGCTCAAACGCGCGTCGCACTCTCTACACCAGTCTGGTAAGATCCCTGTTTTCGTACGGATCCCAATTGTGGGCTCCTCAGAAAATCAAATACATAAACATGATGGAAAGGGTACAAAGGCGTGCAACAAAGGTTTCATACCAAACACGGCTGTTAAAGCTCGGCCTTTTACCACTTACTTACTGGCTAGAAATTCTTGACTTGGTTTTTTACTTTCGTACATTAAAGGGAGAAATTTTTCTCGACAATAATGGCTTGGTCCAAATTAAACAACAAATTCGTATTTCGCGTCATAATAACCCTCAGTCAGGTGTTCTCGCCGAGATACCTCGTGCTAAAACAGTATCATTCCAGAACAGTTTTTTTGTCCGCACAAGTAGAATATGGAACAGTCTAACACCAGTTGAAAGGGACTTGTCTCAAAGTGCTGCTACTTTTAAACGTAGTCTCACGAGGAAATATAACGGGCTACTTAGAGATGTCTACGATCCCGACAATGCTGTAACTTTAAAGTCGAACTGCATGAAATGTCACGTGAACAGAGAACTAGCACACGTTCTCCAAAAACCGTGCTGTTTTTAACTAATGTGTAACCAGTGATGTAACTTAGAAGTATATCAGGGCTCATCGTAATTGGCTCCCGTGGATATTATCCTACGGAGCTGTGATGATAACCCAGCCATGTATTAGTGTATGTATTGTCAGCATCGTAAATTCGTATTGTTTGTAATGGCAAAGCATTTTAAATAAAAAAATTAAAAAAAATAAAAAAAATAAATTTGCAGAACGATGTTTTGCCATGTGGCTGAGCACAATGTGTTCCATAATTTTACAACAAATACACGTTAACGAGATTGGCCGATAATTAGCTGGATTTGACTTACTACTATTTTTGAATACAGCAGTGAAAAGAGCTTGTGACCAATCAGTTGGAATTGTGTTGTGATCGAAAGATTGCTGGAAAATAAAGGCGAGCCATGATGATACAGACTGAGAAATTTCCTTCAGAACTCTGGCTGGGATCTCAATCTGGACCACATGCCTTTTGGGGGTTTAAGTCGGATAGCTGCTTAACGACACCATCTGGATTAATCTGCAGGTCAGTGATGGGCTCGTATGGTGACTGGCCCATACTAGGAGATGGTAACTGTTCACAAGTAAAAACTGAGAAGAAGTATGAATTTAGGGTTTCCGCTTTATCCTTATCTGAGATGCTGACAGTGCTGTTAGATTTCAAGGGAGGGATTCCTATAGATTCAGATTTACTATTCTTGACATAAGACCAGAACTTTTTTTGATTCTCGGCCAAGCTGCTACCAATGATGTTATTAAGGTAGTTCTCGTGTGATTCTTTAATAAGCTTAGACACATGATTTCTTTGATATTTAAAGTTATTCCAATGTTGAGATTTCTTGGTTTGGACAGCCTTTTTATGGAGCCGATCTTTCCTACGCATTTCCCGTTTGATGTTAAGAGTTATCCATGGAAGATTAAATCTTGGTCGCGACGACTTCTGCGGGATGAATTGATTTATTCCATCAGACAAAGCATGTTTAAAAGTTATCCAGTTTTCCTCAACCGACCTATTTTCGGGGTTAGACGAGAAGAACAATGACGACGAATTCAGCATGTGATCATTGAGACCATTAAAGTCTGCCTTTTTGTAGTTATAGATTTTATGAGAAGGTTTAACTACTCGTGATGGTTTCAAATTTACTTCGAATACAACAGCAAGATGGCCGCTGATGCCGGAGATGGTTGTAGTGTTAAGGACAGAGTTTGGATATGTAGATAATAATAAATCCAGAATTTTGGCAGAGGCAGGTCTAGTAGTAGATTTGACGTGTTGAGATAACGAGAAATCATCAATCAGGTGTAGGAATTTATTATGCTGTGAGGCAGAATTTGAGATACGAGGAGCCGGTTCATCTGATGCCCAATCAATGTCACCAAGATTAAAATCTCCTCCAATAATTACGTTGGGATGGGTGAGACTTTTGTCAAATACGTGACTGATAGAATCATGGAATTTGTCCAGTACCTCTGTGATTGAGTTGGGAGGTCTATAGAATGCTGACAGATACAATGTTTTGCAATTGCTTAACTTAAGGGATGTCCAGATTATTTCACAGTCATTGATAAAATCAGGTTCTTCAGTGCAGACGAGATCAGATAATAATAATAATAATAATTACAATATTTAGTCAGGGGGTCCACTCACGAAAGTGATTTTCAGTGGAGCCCTGATAAAAAAAAAAGAATAAAAAAAATATATAAAACTAACAAAAGTGAATATATGAAAAGTTATATCGTATAAAGTTCTTGCGCATCCAATCGGTTCGGTAGTGAGTCCTATGGCTATGTAGCTAAATGTTTCTTTAGTTTAGTTTTAAAAGTTTTAATTTGCTGTATATTTCGGATTTCCACTGGCAGACTATTCCAGTCGTTGGCAGCATGGTAGCTGAATGCCTGCTTCCCCCAGTTCTTCTTCACGCGTTCCAAATGTATGTTCTGTTTGTTTCGAGTGTTGTAGCTGTGGATGTCAGAGGAGAACTTGAAATTAAATTTAAAATCGATGTCATTGTTTAAACACTTGTGCATGATTAGACAACGGTGAAGGTGTCTACGAGTTGCTAACGGCTGCCAATTTAACGATCGTAGGGATTCTGAGGCTGACGAGAGTGGATGAGCGTCAAGAATGATTTTAGCGGCTTTGTTGTAAAGAACTTGAAGGTGGTTCATCAGGACAGAGTTGTTTTTATCACCCCACACAAAATCAGCGTAGTCAAAGATCGGCATGACAAGGCTGTTTACTAGAGTACGACGAGATTCAACAGTTAGGAGGTGTTTAACTCTTCGTATAATACCAAGACGTTGATTAACTTTGGTAAAGAGTGCTTCAATATGATCTGACCACGATAATGTCTGATTTAAGGTTATACCAAGATACTTAAATGATTCAACACGATTTAGTGGGCTATTATTAATAAGAAGATTTATATTTTGTAGTTTGGCATTACTTCCGAAAACCATAAATTTGCATTTAGAAGTGTTAAGAGTTAAACGGTTAGCACCAAACCAACGAGATAAGTTCTGTAGGTCAGAGTTTAGCTTTTGTTCCAATTCAATAATGGATTTAGCTGAGCAAAATAGGACTGTATCATTTGCATACAGGGAAATGTCACAGTTATTAACAGTGGAGGGAATTTCATTCACATAAATGAGAAACAGTAAAGGACCCAGTATACTTCCTTGGGGTACTCCGACATGTACTGGTTGAGTGGACGACTGTTCAAGGCCAATAGAAGTGACTTGAAAACGATTAGAGAGATAAGAAGAGAACCACTTGATTGTTGGCTGTGAAAAACCAATAGTGCCAAGTTTCTGTATGAGACGATCGTGACTAACCGTGTCGAAGGCCTTCAAAAGATCTAAGAAAACTGCACCGGCGATAGAACCTTTGTCTAAATTATCCAGAATGTTGTCAGTGAAGTAGGTGAGAGCAATTGCCGTGGAGAGTTTAGGGCGGAATCCAAATTGTTTCGGGGTCAGGATATTTTAATGAAGTAGATAGCTATAGACTTGACTATGAACAGCTCTTTCAAGTATTTTGCTAGCAGTTGGTAGAATAGTTATTGGTCTATAATTATTGGCATTGCAGCGGTCACCGGATTTGAATAATGCAGTTACTTTGCCACATTTCCATACAGCTGGGAAGACGGAGGTTGCTAATGACCGGTTGTAAAGTTTAGTCAAACTTGTTGTGATAACGTCAGCGGAGTCCTTTAGCAATCTGGCATTGATGTTGTCCAAACCAATAGCTTTGTTTGTTTTAAGACTATTTAGTTTGGATTTAACAAAACACTCATCGATTACATCAAAAGCAAACATTACACCAGATTCAAGATGGTCTTTACAAACGGCAGAGGTGATGGTAGACGTAACTGTGCAAAATTTATTAACGAGTGTTAAACCAATAGTCAAAAAATGATTATTAAGAATTTCGGAGATTTGCCTGGGTTCGGTAGATGGAGTTCCATCAACTTCAATACATGAAATGTTCGAGCTCGATTTACGTGAAGTAATTTCATTGAGGTGTTTCCAGAGAGTGTTTGGATTATTTTTAGAGATTTCAATAAGATTAAGGTAGTATTCCGATTTACTCTTTTTGACTTGTCTATTTACGTGGGATTTCAAACTTTTGTATTTGGACCAGTCAGAAGGAGAATTAGATTTGGTAGCTTTACGGAAAGAGCGGTCGCGTTCCTGCATAAATGTTTTCAACTCAGATGTCATCCAAGGAACATGACAACCTTTTATCCTAGTTTGTTTCGTAGGGGCATGACGTTCTGCAACATCTAAGAACAGCTTATTCCAAAAGTTTACTGCGGTATTAATATCGGGGATTTCATCAACAATATTCCAGTCTATGTTCCTGAGCTCATCCAGAAATGCTTCTTTAGAGTAATGTTTGTAGGAAGTATATTCGATTGTCCTGCCAGGACTCTTTGTTACACCAGCCTTGACAACACAGTAAATGAGGAAGTGGTCGCTGATATGTACCGATAACACACCACTTGATACAATGCGGTGTTTGTTATTAACAAACAAGAGATCAATTGCAGTTGATGAGAGTTCGTTTATCCGCGTTGGAGTGTCGATGAGTTGGTTTAAATTGTTTGCACTAGCAAAAATATTAAGTGGCTGTCTCACTAAGAACCATGCAGAACGTTTCAGGTTGAAAATTAGATTTGCTTTATATTTTTACCATGAACTACCTTTGTCCTAAAAGGTGTTAAACTAATATTAGAATTTCTAAATTTTTCTTTTTTTTTGAGTTATGACGAATTTTTGTCTGGACGTCAGCGACACTGAAATTTGACCCCGAAAACGGCGGTCAAATGTGTGTTAAATTGTGCATCATAACTCGGAAAGTTTCGCGTCAAATTAAAAACTTTTTTCAGCGTATTGTGACATATTCTTCTTCTTTTAGAATGTTGAAAGAATTTGAATGTACATCTTATTTTAAGCCTACTAGTCTCCATCCAAGGAAGTCGGTATTTTCGTTCGCCGAACAACTAATGATTACGTACAAAATTCGAACTAAAAATTCTCAAAAGTGCAACCTACTTGGTGCCTAAAACACTTTTAGGGTTAAAGTAGAATACTTAAAGTTAAGTTATTCGCAATAAAACTTGTTGGCAAAAGGAATATGAAGGAGTGCATAATTCATAAATTATGGCTATAAATAGCTCTATTGTTTACCTTTTGTGATAACCTGAAACACGTTAAGCGTTACTCACGGAGCTTTTATAAATTTATATCAGCAATTATTATAAATATAAAATAGTGTTTATAAGTTCTTATATTTGAATACAAACACCGCCTTGTAATTTTTTTAAGCTTTCGGAAAGCCTTTACAATTGATCGTTTTAAACTTGATTAAAATTACTAAAGAGGCCCTGTTAGGGGGGGTCTGAATAATCCATAATCCTAGCAAAAATTTAAAAATAATCCGTATCCCATTTCTATAAACAAAAATATCCTTTAATAATTTAAAGAAATGTGAACAACAACTTGTTAACAGGATGTGTTCGCACTGCTTGTTCCCTGCTCAGGACCGTAGCGAGGGGGGTATTGAGGGGGGGGGTTAACCCCCCAACTTTTTTAGAATTAACACATTTGGAAAATCAGGAAATGGCCGTTTTAGAGACTCTAAATTTAAAAATTTCCTTGGGCCTTTGGCCCTCGTTTTCAGCCTCCCCCCCGATTAAAATTCGGAAATTTTTTTCGTCATTCGGAAATTTTTGCCCAACCCCCCCCCCCAACTATACATGCTAGCTACGGCCCTGTCCCAGCTTGTTGACATGTTGTCAACTGCTTGTTGACAACTTGCTACAAGGTTGTTGAGCTCAACAGAGTTGTTACAAGTTGTTCCAACAAGTTGATATCAACAATTTGTCAACAAGTTGTCAGTGACAACCTTGTAGCAACTTAATAAAATATCAGCATTATTACAACTTGTAGACAAGCTTGCTACAAGCCTTTTGCGAACACATCTTGTTGACAAGTTGGGAGATTTTTATATGTGTACGTGTTTGCGCAAAGATCGCGTGTGTTCCTTCTCAAATGTGCGAAATGGTCAACAATTAAAATTTCTCAGCATCTTTTAATGGTGTCCCCAGTATAAAGAAGATATTGATATTGAATGGCATCTTATGACCTCTTCCAAACTGCAAATTGTACCTCTTATTTTTATTTTCAATAGCAAAAATAAATGATCTTTGCATATCAATAATCCTAAAATCCTATCCAAGTAATCCATAATCTTTTTTTTTAACCAGCAATAATCCGTAATCCTTCCCAAAAATGCCAAATAATCCGTAATCCTAAAACCCTAACAGGGCCTCACTAAATATAGTTGCACGCCAACATAATGTACAATATATTATCGTTGTTTAATATGTACTGATGAGTGTGCCACAAATAGAATACACGCTATATTATACGAAAGCAACATACTAAACTTTATAGTTAACTTGCTACCTGGATAGTTATTTTTCGCGTGTTAATTCTTCCACAAACAATTTAATTTCGCAAATTTAATCTTTTATTAAACGTTCGGGAGTTGTCGAAAAAATTTCGAGGTCAGTAAATTGTGTTACTGCAGTCTGTATGCCAAGGGGATTAGGTTTGTTGCCAATTTTTAAGCTTCTCTAATTTATAAAATAATAATAAAAACCCACGAAAATAATAGCAGACGGAATGTATACAAGTTGTTTTTGTTCTTCAATGCGCCATTGTTAAAAATAATTATTGGGGTGCTATATAGTATTTTGTAAACTTACTTCTTAAATAATATCAATGACAGTGTGCCTTTGTAATTTCCACACCTGTTTTGTTTAACAGAAAATTAACGCAAAGAAGTGCCGTTTTAGATATAGAAGCTTACTATATAGTTTAGTTTTGATTATGGAGAAAAGTTGTTCATTTGTTGGCGCTGGTGGAATTTCTTGTGGTGAAAGTCGTGGATTACAGGAGATTAGTTGCTTATTTGATTGTAAGGAAGATATGAGTGTTCAATTAAGTATCAAATTGTCATCTTTCTAAATTAATCGAACTTGAGAGAGAACGAGTTAATTGCTATTCGCGCGGGAATGTTCAATCTTACCGAAGACCAGTTTAAGATGATGTTTATTTGTCCGTCCCACCGTCATAATTTGGGATGATTTTGGAGGCCGCTAAGACCGTGCCAGTATTCCCTCCATTCGGGTCTGGTTCGCAAGTGTACAGGAAGAGATGTTTTCAATGTGTCATTATCAAAAACTGTTTTTACTCTTTATGGGTAATTAATTCAAATAGGATCTCGTAAGTATTACGCTACTTTTACTTCTTCAAGTGTTGTAATTAGTACTTTAATGACGCAGGGGAACATGGAGATAACTATCGTAAGTTTACATGTTCTTCATGAAGGAGAATGCGTAAGTTTACGGGTTCTTCATATTGAGGCGAAAGCACAAAGAGAAATGGTAAATGTGGACAACTTGTGGAAAATGCTTGCTGAGATCGGTGTATGCCATCCTATACCACGACGCGTATGATTTATGTGACATGTACAAACAGAAGAGCCCATCTGTTTTTAAAATAACGATGCTGAAAGAAATTTGTGCGCATTTTGAACTTCAGTTCAAATCAAAGGATAAAAAACAGACTCTCGTAGATAAAATATCATCCATGATTGGGCAATGCACATGTTTCCAAATAAACAACTAAATTGTGCAAGTGCGGACAAATACTCCCAGACTAACATGGACTTGTCGAGAGATGTCATTGTTCTTGGTCCGCGAGACTCGCGCGAGTCTGTGGAGCCTGGAGCAGTATCGTTAACTCAAATCAAGTACCAAAAACGCCGCATGCAAACTACGATGTTATGTATTTTCTATTGCTATAATTTAAACCACTATTATGAGACAAATCAAATTTTGCCGAAAAATACCAATTGAAGTTGAAAGTTATTCACAGAATAGCGATTAGCTGCAAACTACTGTAAAATTATTATTATTGCTGTATAGATTACACCCGTTTTCAAAATTACGCGACCTCCCAGAAAAATACTCTTACTTCAAATGTCAGTTTTATGTCACAAGAACTGCATGCTAAAAATAGCAAACGTAAACAAACAGTCAAAAGACATTTTAAACCGTATTTAATAGCAAAGCTGAACAAAAATGAGTTAGATAACTTAGATATACAAACTAAAGCACAATACAAGCCATCACAACAGAAATATGTGCCGTGAATGACTTTTAAAGTTTGAAAAATAACAATTTATCCTCGAATTTAGCTGTCAGTATAAAACACGCGCGCTAGACTATAACGGTCATGTTATGATTTTGTCATGCTTAAATTTTGCAATAATTCTCACTAAAATATCTTGAAAATCATTGTAAGCCTGTTTATATAAAGCATACAAAGCATATACATCGAAAAGGAATCGCAAAACTCAAAGTTTGAACTTCGTGACCGAATGACATAAAACTGACATGTCAACTCTAGCATTTTCGTCCTTGGTCGCGTAATTTTGAAAACGGGTGTAAAGATAAAGGACAAATCTCAGTATACGTCGCAGCTAGTCAACATCAATGCAACTAAGATCGTTTTATTCAATGAATTGAATGGTTTGCATGAAAGGACAAAAATTCTGCCGAATGGGCAATGATGAAAACTTTTATCAGAATATAATAACAAGTTCATGGATTTATTAATTCCATGCGACGTTATGCGGCAACACACATTGTCGACATTGGCATTGTACCTGTCCGGTCATGAGGGATACAACGTCCTAGACGAATTTAATTCTTCTGAGCGTTTTTCATCAATCGAATTAAACTTTTCTGAGTTAAATACAATGATTATGCATATTAGTCGCTATAAAAACTCCGCGAGCAACATTGAACGTGTTTCCGGTTATCACAAAAGGTAAACAATAGAGCTATTTATAGCCATAATTTATGAATTTTGTACCATTTCATATTCCTTTTGCCGACAAGTTTTATTGCGAATAACATAACTTTAAGTATTCTACTTTAACCCTAAAAGTGTTTTAGACACCAAGTAGGTTGCACTTTTGAGAATTTTTAGTTTGAATTTTGTACCTAATCATTAGTTGTTCGGCGAACGAAAATACCGACTTCCTTGGATGGAGACTAGTAGGCTTAAAATAAGATGTACATTCAAATTCTTTCAACATTCTGAAAGAAGAAGAATATGTCTCAATACGCTGAAAAAAGTTTTTAATTTGACGCGAAACTTTCCGAGTTATGATGCACAATTTAACACACATTTGACCGCCGTTTTCGGGGTCAAATTTCAGTGTCGCTGACGTCCAGACAAAAATTCGTCATAACTCAAAAAAAAAGAAAAATTTAGAAATTCTAATATTAGTTTAATACCTTTTAGGACAAAGGTAGTTCATGGTAAAAATATAAAGCAAATCTAATTTTCAACCTGAAACGCTCTGCATGGTTCTTAGTGAGACAGCCACTTAAGTCTTTGTTTCAGGCTGTGACTAGAAGTATTTCTTTTGGCAAGGACGTCAACGTTAAAGTCACCGAGTAAAACTAGTTCAACGTCCTGGGGAAGTAAGGAGATCTTTGAATTTAATGTATCGATGAAATTGGGTAATGGTGCATCAGGGGCTCGATAGATTGACCAGATGAGGATGTTTTTACATTTCGGCCGATTGAGTTCAAGGACTCAAGACTCTATGTTATCATCTTGCAAGTCAGGCCGTGCTCGATAGGGTAAGCCATCACGAATATAAATCATGCACCCACCACCTTTTTTGCTTTTACGGTCATTTCTGACAAAGGAATAACCTTGAATATTTAGTTCAGGATCAGATATGTTTTTGGTTAACCAGGTTTCGGAGATGGTCAGGACATCGAAAGGATTATTTAGTAAAAGAAGGCGTAGTGAATCTATCTTATTAGTTATGCTTCTTACATTTAGATGAGCAATTTTAAGTCCACGGTTACTTGGAAAACCAATGTCACTAAAATTCTGCGAATCTTGAGAGATATTGGCAGGTCCAGGGTTTCGGCTGACGTCTCCAGCTAGGAGTACAAGGGAGTAAGCACATAAACCAGCGTTTAGAAGTTTAATTCCAGCTCTAACTTTAAAGGATTGTGATATATTCGGGGGGTTCGATTTACGGGGACATCCACAATTCCTGTTTGGATAACTTGCGATATCAGCACCCATAGATATCACGAGCGAGGCGTCTGGAGTGACCACGTTCCATGAGTTACACGAGTTGAGGACAATGAAAAGGAACAATACCAGTATGAGTGAAGAAAGCCAGAAGGCAATATGTCTCTGCATTATGTCTAGATATGAAAGGTCTTGTATAGGTTAATTGAGGTCAAGTACTAGACGATTGTACTGCAATAAAACTCGCCGGGAATATTATTGCGCTTGAGAAATATAACAAACTTTGAATGTAGATTGTTTAACAAAGGACTTTAGTCGACAATTCACGGAGATCAGCCAAACAAAAGAAAACTAAGTAAGGACAGAAGGAATAATTGAGGTTTCAAGACGAACTTCAAGGCTATATGACGACGAGACACAAACAGTTAGTTGTTGCCACGGTAACTGAGACGCCGCGAATTATTCAAAAATCCCAACGGTCAGAATAATGTATACTACGCGATAATTCAAGTTGTCTTCAACAAAATAAAGTATAATTTTAACATAAGACTAGGAACACACAATTTCACAGAGAGAAATTCCAAATAGATCGATCCAGTGAATACAAAAAGATAAAATTCCACAATACACGCCGTCAGTAAATATGTCATGAACTATACCAAGAAAACAATCCACGATAAATTTGCGAAACGATAATTTAACAGTGTAGAAATAAATCCATAGAACCATAGGATGTTTATATATTAAACTGAATTCAATTTATGTCGATTCGAAGTGTTTTGAAGTAGTAACTGGTCGAAAAATACGGAGGTTAGCAGTACCCGGCCTGCTAATCTTTGTCAACTTAATCAGGTCTAACTGCTTGTAAGACTCCGCCACCATTACGATTTCTGTCATTTCGGAAGATGGCGTAGTTTGATGGAAATATTGAATAACTTGGAATATCTTGTTCTAATTTGGATTCAGTTCCTAGAACAAAGTCAGGGTTATGCAAATCAAGCAAGGCTTTTAGCTCATTAGATCGAGAGATACTCTTTAGACCATTGCAGTTTATTATCATGCCTTTGAGTTTGCGACGTGTTGGTTTAGGTGTTGTATTAGAGGGATTAGTTTGAGCCTTTGTGTGCTCAGAGTTGGAGGTTTATGAGAGAGTCCAGTGCCGAGAAGGAGTTGTTTAGGTTTAACTCTGATGAATTATCAAGGAAGGATTTAGAAAAGTTTGGTAGATTCATTGCGGGCACATCCAAACACAAGATGAATTGGCTATTAGAGAATTACCCATATCGTTGTCGATCCGACAGCACTTGGTGTGATACCGGAGATTACAATTATCACACTGTAAGCAGTTTTGATTGGATTTGACCGGTTTTGAGCATACGCCACAAGGATATTTGTAGTTCGGTCCTGGATTGATCTGGATGTCACCACCAAGGAGTAAAATAAATAGGAAGAATCACCCAGAGCATTTTGTATCGAAATTGTTGGTTGAAATTGTGCCTTTGTGTCCAAAAAGGCGATGGGCAGATTCCAGACTGACGGCAATCGACTGAGTACTTGCTAAGGTAATGTTCAAACCGAAGTCAAGAATTCCTATAGTGATATGAGGAGGATTCGTTTTTTGACATAGCATAATTGCCAAACAGACTGCCAAAAGTGCCAAGAAACGCATTATGTAATAAGGGAATTCCCAAAGACTAAAAACCTGTAATATGATATTGTCTACAACAGACAGGAGGCAGTACACTATAATGTTGGAGTTGCAGATGTTTTGCAAAATATAGTTCCAAAATGGGCAAAAGTTCTGTCAAAATGTAGCGAATAATAAGTAATGCAAATCCAAAGTAATAATATATCTTTAAATACGTAGAAACCAAGATACAATGCCGTAAAGTTGTTGCCTAGGAATGTGACGCTAATCAAAATTCAAATTTGAAATACCAACTGCCAAAATAATAAAAGTTTAATAAAACACGAACAGTATATCCAAATGACACCAACTTTACGCACAAGAGAAATAACACAGTTTATAGACCACGTAGAAAATACACATCAAGTCTAACAAACAATGCCAAAGAAAATGAGGAATATCCAATAATCCAACTTCGTATCGAATGACACGATGATAATATTACGCAAATGAAATAAGACAATCCAAAATAGCTTTACTCCACGATACAAATCCAAAATACCATAAATAGATGTACAAGACTTTAAGCTTTATTTTAATATAAAGCTTAACGAAATAGAATGGAGAATTACTTGTTTAATATTGAAATATAGCGGAGGTCACTCGAGCGTAACCCTATCTCCTCGCTGTGATTATGATTGATCACAGTGAGGAGAAGGTGTTGATGTAAGCCTGAAGGTGTTGATGTAAGCCTCGATGATGATGATGTATCTCTGAAGGTGTTGATGTAAGCCTCGATTGATGTCTCCAACTTTAGGAACTGTTTGTAGCTGCTGCTCATAAACCTTTGCTTTACAAATGAAAGTTCCTTAGCTGTCTCTTTTGCTACCGCATGCATTGTGTGAAAGATATTAGTTTGTAATAACAGACAGAAGACAAATTGGTTGTCGTTGTAAAGTTTGGATAAGACTTTATTGAGCCAATGCCCAGGATCCCATTGCAATGTGCACCAAAATTCTTCCCGAAGCGTCAAAGGAATTTCGTTGAACAATGGTTGGTTCATTGAATCAATAAATCCTTTGCACAAATACTGACCATCTGTGACTTTGCCTTGCATTGCCAAGATTGCACGACCAGTTATTTTGGCATGATTCTGTACATCAGTTAATAGCTTTGATGCTAATTCTCGGCCAGTACCACCAGAACCGTCGGATTTGGTATGAACTGCTGGCATGAAGGGCAATGGCTTGCCTCTGTCCTTCTACTACAGGATATATAAGTGACACTTGGTTTGGTTTGTTGTTCTATGGTTTGTCGATTTATCACCAGTGACCTAAAAATGGGGAGGCAGAGGAGTTGACATGAATTTGGGCACTTCTTTGTCTACATATGTGCAGGCAGCCCTTAGCATGGGCACAAACATGTCCATAGTCTCCTAAATCGCATCCTGTAGCGTACAACTGGGCTGTTGGTTTCATAGTGTTGAGCAGTGGACTTGGTCTTCACAACTGTCATGGCAGCTCGCAACTAGTTTTTAACTCATTAAGTGTTATTGCACCCTCATGCACCCTGGAATTGGGAACGGAGTAAGTCTCATTGCGCCCTGGATGACATGTCAACTTCCGGGCATGATTGTCTTGCGCATATTTATCAGCTTGCCTAGCAACGGTCACAAGAATAGAGTGCAAAATTCGGGCTTTCAAACTATACATCATGCGAGGAAATTAATCAAAAGATTGCAAAGATTTTCGATTTTAAAATTGTATTTTTTTACAAAACCTGTAACAACTGCAAAGTGTCACAAGATGGGACTTTGCAGCAAGTTTTAAGGATGAAAAAGAAGATTCAGATTTCCAGATTTTTAATGATTTGCAATATATACAAAAAACAAGAATTCGAGAATGTACAAACATTACAAAAATAGCTAAAAATTACTTATTATTTAACAATTATTCGCCGAAGGCGAGATGATTATCAGTGAATAAAAACCGAGATGAAGTCGAGGTTTTTATTCACTATAATCACCGAGCCTGAGGTGAATAATTGTTTTAGTATAATTTCATAGGTGATTATTCAGAAAAATACATTTTCTTCGTCATTTAATTGACAAAACGGCTTCGGCCGCCATTTTGAAAATCACTTAGGTGATTATCGCATAATAATCACCTCAATGGCAACCAATCAGCATGGAGAATTTTCAATAATCACCTATGTAATTATACTAAAATGGAATAAATGATGATTTAGTTAAATTATACCCAGTAGTCAAAGTAGCAATAAGCTTTCGAGTTGACTACTGTCTATGTGAGATTTTTTAGTGTATTTGAGCTAAGAATATTAGAAAGGACAAAAAACAGAAAAAGATTTGAAGGAATGATGATGTATGCAGATCCATAGACCATGCAGGGAATATGCAAATAGAAATTAGAATCGTGCTAAGATGAAATCACCACAGATGTTCATAGATATCAAAAACACTAATTTTCTTTGAAAAAAAATAATTAAAAAAAGTGTACTTTTCACCAATTGGAACTAATTGTCGTTCTGCTGACTTAGTAAATACAACTTATACTTTCGTTTAAAAGTCTTAAAAGGGAGATGCTTCATTTGATAAGGTAGTATATTTGAAAGTAAACTTGCCATAATTAGTTCTTATGTGATGTCTACAGAAATTTAGTCTATATGCAAGTCTTGTGTTGTAATTATGTTGAAGTGAACAGGATTGAGAAAGTCAGAGAATGCCACTGGAACATTGGAATCACGATCACTAAATTTAGATGCAAAAATTGCAGTTTTTAGTATGATAATATTTTCTAGCTTAAGGACTCCGAGCAAATTATAGTAAAGATTTATATTTTCCCTGCTATCCACAAAAAAGATGCATCGAATGCATCTGTTTTGCTTGGTTAATTTGCTTTTGTAAGTATTTCCCCAGCTTGTAGCAGCATAATTCAAATATGGAAAGACCAATGTATAATATAGAGGCTTTAATATTTTTAAATTTATGTAACCCCACAATTTGTACAAAATTCCTAAATTCTTTGAAATTTTGCTATTACTATATTTTATTTGGGTCCAAGTGTTGAACCCTGTGGTACACCACATACGATAGTCTGAGACATTGACTCAGCTTTCCTTATTTTTACATACTGGGTTAGAATTTTCAAATAGCTAGTAAACCAATCAAGAGTAATTCCTCTTTTGCCGTATTTGTAAAGTTTCTTCAATAGAATATCATGATTTGTGGTATCAAAAGCTTTAGAAAAGTCAAGAATACACCACATGTAGTAAATCTGTCATCAATTGCAGTTTTTAGTTTGTCACTTAGCTCAAGAATTGCTTGTTCTGTTGAATGATTTTTCTTAAATCCAAATTGATATTTAAATAATATGTCGTGTTTGTTCAAAAATGACATAAGCTGGTCGTATATAATTCTCTCCAGGATTTTACTAAATGGAGATAGTATTGCAATAGGCCTGCAATTGCCAGGGTCAGTTTCTGTGCCACTTTTAAAGATGGGTGTTATTCTAGAAACTTTAAAAGAATCCGGAACAATTCCTGTTGCAATTGATTCATTGTAAATGTGTGTAAAAGGTACAGAAAGAGGTAAAGAGGGAGGGTACAAAAGCTGGACCCCCTCATCTGGACCCCCTTCTGGACCCCCATCTGGACCCCTTTCTGGACCCCCTTCTGGACCTCTCAGAATATAAAATAAATTCAAAATAGGGATTAAAATAAATACTTTGCAGAAATAATGATTTTCATAAATAATAGATTTTAATTTATGGAAGTGGGCCTAGTTGCGAAGTAGTCTTGTGTAATAGGTTAGACAGGTCACTACTTTATATTAGATCAAAAGAATAGTTTCGGCCATGTTAGGGTCAGGCATATTTCGAGTTACGGATAGTGCGCCATATTTAGCGTTTTTATATTGTTATTATCGTTGATGCACTATCTCCTTGCAAGATGAAGTAACAACAAACTATAACTTGGCGGGAAAAAATAATAGCATGTTGTGCTTCCTTATTCTGTGACCTTGTTTAAAGGGTATGGGCAATTTTATTCATTTTATTGCTTCATCTGAAAGTGCATGAAAAATTAAGTCGTTTGGCCGTTTAATGCTCTATTCTATCTCATCTAGTTCCGAAGTTATATGCAAAAATGTGCAAAATATAAATTGCTGATTCAGCACAAAGTGTGACGTCATTAGCTGGTAAGAATGTTTATTGAATACTACACTGAAGCATAATGGCTCAGTTATTATGGGATCAAATCAAATGACATTCTGCATGCAGATAGTACATGATGAGACCCATGGAAAAACACTTCCAATTTTGTTGCCAAGGTAACAATGTCGTTCCCAGGTTCCTTGCGCCAATTTTATAAAACAGCTTTATTTATGGTACTGATAAAAATAAAATAATATCAGAAGTATGTGTACCATATCTATGCATGCCAAAAGTTTACTTGTTTAATAATAATTCGAAAATGACATACAC